GGCTAGACACAAATGGGTTCCATTTTCGTCCCTGTCCGCTCGATTCCGGCCACATGACGGGCCACTTTGTCCAAAAACATCGTTTTGAGTCAGATGTTTCCTCCATTTGCCGCAGTGGGTGCGTCACTGAAACATCGCTGAAAATTGTTTATCAGCCCACTGTGCAATATATGATAATTGGAATCACTGAAGTTCTGCGTCTGTTTTGTTTCGGACCGTTCATGTGTTAAATGTTAGTTTCTTTTTTTTTTTTTTAAATGTTAGCTTGTTTCTACCCCTTAATGCTACTGAGCTGTGTAAACATTTGCTGTGCACTGCCTCGTCAGTACGGTATTGAACTTCCGGCAAAAGAGGGCTGAACAGGGAGCGCCGTTTCTCAGCGCCTTCATCGAAATGGCGCTGTTTCTCTGTAACGTTCTGCATGAGTTTATGCGAAAAATGAAAGCGTTAAAGCGATGCAGTGTTGTGTGAGTATCTGTCTGCTTTCCTGTCTGACCATAACCACTGGACTCAAGTCCAGCTAATTTCGAGAACACGGTCCTCGGCTGTGTGAGTAACCATATATCTGGGCTTTGTGTTTTCTTCCTTTGCTCTGATTAAGTACAGATCGTACCACCGCTCCGACCGACCGCTGCGGGACTCGCTTTACTTCTGTAAGAAAATTGCCTGATTCTTTATATTCTTTTTGTGACTTTGCTGACCTTTGACTGTGTTGTAGCCCATATTCATATTCTTTTCATACTTTATCTGAAGCTAACATTTTCACATCTTTTTTCCCCATTCACTTTGTTCTCGCACCTACTGATCTGGATTTAATGCGCCTCCCCACTTGCTTTTCAGCTAAAGCTGGTACTTCGCAGCTTATCTCTGTTCACATTTACTCTTGCTCCTCTACTGTTTCAGCTGTGTTATTTCATCGTAGTGTTTTAGTATTGGTTTTTTCATCTTCTAAAAAAATGTTTTCTTTTACTGACTACCCGGTCCCAAGGTCTTGCACAGTTCCGCACTTTAGGGCTCATTTTCTTACTTTTTTTTTCGCACGATTTTTCTTATTTTTGCCGCTGATTGGCTTTGATTACTTTTAAATATGGCGCATTTGTATGTCATTGATAATTCTTGTCGTTGTATCCGGAGTTGTATTATCTAAGGGTCATCTTGCTGGTTATCCTGGCTTTCATTTCCTCGCTTTTCTGAAAAAAAAAAAAAAAATTCAGATGAATCGCTTTTTTTCTGTCGTATAAATAGTACCTTAATTTTCTCAGCAGCGGTCGCTCCTTTTCCATGACGACCATCACCCGTGAGTGTTGATTCAGTAGGAGTTAATAGCGTGCAAGTTCTTGAGGAATTCGACTTCAGGTTACTACCACATGCCCCTCATTTTTCACTTGTTCAAATTTGAATTTTCTATGCTCATTGGAGCACAGCTTCCTCCAATTCAGTTTTGTGCTACTTTCATCGAATTTTCTTTGTTCACACAAATTAATACTTGAGATATGGCATGATGCGGATTAACACTACTGTTGTGCAGAAAGTTGAAGTCGACTACGCTAGTAAGTCAGCCAGTCCCTTTTACGATTCGTTTATTCGTTTTTACGGTAAATTGGTACAAGTGTATAGCAAGAAGTCATATCCGCTATCAGCTTGCTTCTGATCAACCCTATGAAAAGAGGACCACCGACAGCCTTGCCAGCGAGTTGTTGCTGTTAGTACCTACTAGCACTGGTCGTGCCTCCGCCTGTCCTAGAGATCGAAAATGCAGATGTTGACTTTTAATTTTGACTTAACATTTCTGCATCGCTTTTTGTTTGCTGAAATAATGCAATAATTTCGCAGGTGGGTTTTCCACCACTTTTTTCCATCTTTTTTTTTTTTTTGTAATTCGGCGCTGGTTTGTCTCCCCCGGCTTTTATGCCATCCCATTTCATTTTTCAGTCCTTTTTTGACAAAAGCATTATATCTACAGTTTTTGTTTTTCCGCACTAGCTGAACATATTGAGGTGGTGTGCAGCTGGTTTTTGGGGCTGCATCCTCATTTTTGACATTTTTCGACTTTATCGGAGCGGCTTCCGGGTCATCTGGTACGAAAAGGGCGCAGTTGGCAGTGTGCGTTCTTCCATGTCTTGTATACTGTGTTGCTCGCGTAATTGATATAGCACATGTTTTAGTTTACTCTTATTTGTTTGCGTAGTTTCAGGTTCTTTTGACTTTATTAAATGTTTTTTTTTTACATCCATAAATCGGTTCATGTGAAATTTTTACTGTGTTATCCATTCGTCAGTGCGACAGTTCCTTTGTATTTTTATGTTCTCCTGAAATACAGAGGTGGCTAACTGGTGGAATTGTGGTGTTAAGGGACGGGATTTTGTCAGGACGAATTTTTAGGGAGTTAAGCGTATGATTTGCACTTATATTTTGACACGCATTTTTCAGGATTCAGCCTGGATTTTATTGTTTGATTCGCTTAAATCCAGGTAAGTATTGACATTTTACTTTGTTTCTCATTGCATAAACATTCACTCCGTTGTTTCGGTCATTGTAAGGGCTACCTTTGGTGATTAAGGACTTTGACGCCGTATCAGCTGGCAGAATATAGGCAAAGCACGGAGATGCGTATTGGTAATGAATGCCTTTGGCGGGCGGCTCCTGAAAGCGATTAATAACGATATTGAAGCGTGGGCATAGCTGTATTCGTCATGTGTTTGTAGTCAGGTTGCGCAAAAGATGTGCTCATACTAACGGCGTTTTGGTAAATGCGCGTTGGTTTCTGTAGCATTTATTTTGATTTTATGCCTTCTTTTTTTTGTAAATTTAAAGTGACTAATGAAAAACATTTGTTCAATGTATGCATTTGCCTTTTTGGAAGTTTTCCTCCAAATCTGGCAGGACTAGGGAACTGTAGTTTCAGGAGCGCCTAACAACTTAATAAGGAAGTGCCAGCTCTGCCTAATAATTTAGGATGAATGACTTGGGAACAACTTCTAACTGTATTACTTTTTGACGTATGTCTTCAAGCTCAAAAACTGTTTGCTTTTTCAATTTCAAAACCTCACGAGCTGATCACTCGTAGCTATAAAAAATTCAAGAATTGAATCGAAAAATGTTAAGACTGGAAAATGCTGAGGGAATCTGTGTTTTCTAAAAAAAATTGTGGAAATTGAAGACTTTCTTTAAAAAAATGAATAGTGGCTCGCATAAGGGCAGCCGGTGCTGTCACGCCTTTTGCGCAGTTCCGTACGACGAACGTTTGCCTGCTAAGGATTTCCACTGCTTTGCACTTTGGCCTGTGTAAAAATAGTTGAATTGTCTGGTGCCTGTGTTACGAAGTTTGCCATTAAAACCTTACACGGTGAACATTTTTCCAAAACCAACCCCTAATTTTCTGGTTTTTGAGTGATTTTCGCATAAAAGCCTTTACATGGTCCTGTGTGAGACCTCGGTATATTTGGGAGATAAATTTGAATTCGTGTGACTCCTGCATAGGCAGAAAACATGCTTCTGAAATTTTCAGCTTCCTACCTCTCGTGGCTTTCAAATGTTCACGGGGATGTTGAGACTCAGGCGAAAGCCGAATTTGAATTTACGAGGTCGTAGATAGGCAGGAGACAATACTCTAAGATTTCAACTTCCCACTTTTCGTGGTTCCCAAGATAATTTTCCTGCCAAAACTTTCACGGGGCCGTATGTCGCACGGGGAGGCTGAAATTTAAATTTGCGAGTGGATGTATTTGGGCAGGGGAAAATAACTTTGAAATTTCAGCCCAGCCCCCTACATTTCGTGATTCCCAAAATAGTAATTTTACCCATCAAAACTTGCGCGAAGCCGTACGTGACACCCGGTTGCGGGGTTGGGGAGGGAGGGGGTTTATTCTAAATCTGCTGGGTCATGCGCGGGCAGGAGATATTGCCGTAAAATTTCAGCCTTCTAGCTTTCGTGGTTCCCGAGGTAATAGCTTTCTCCATCAAAACTTCCACAGGGTCGTACGTAGTACCCGGGTGTGCAGAAAAGCTGAAGTTAAGGCTGCGAGTCACGCGTGGGCAGGGATCATTACTCTAAAATTTCAGCTTTTATAATTTCCGAGACAACAACTTTGCCCGCCAAAATTTGAAGGAGATATTACGTGGTGCCCGGGAGCAGGGGAAAGCTGAAATTGAATTTGCGTAGTTACACATGGGCAAGAAACATTCCCCTAAAATTTCAGCTTCCTAGCTTTTGTGGTTGCCAAGTTGAAAGTTGCGGACAAGATGCATCGGACACACACACACACACGTTTTGTGCAGCTGGTGCACAGCACTAAACGCATAAAAAGAACAAATCAAACAAGTTACATTTGATTTAGCTGTAAGCTTTTTAGGATGTGTTGAGCAAAGCACGTTTAAAGCAATTGATACAATGAACATCGTCACATGCCGCCGAACAAAGATTCTTTTCTTTGGCAAAGTTTAGTCAGCTGGCGCCAGAATGAGCTGGAAAGTTAAACATTGTCAAAATGTCAAAATAGATTAAAATCAAGTGCTAACATTCTGAACTGTGCTAAAGGGCATAATGCAAGCGAAGCGAAGCTAGATTTTGGCATCCCAGAAGTGCAGTTTACTCTGTCACGCACCTGTTCACAAAACAGTAAATTTACTTTCCGACACCTTGTTCCAGTGTTTTCCGTTTTCACCATCATGGTCACCATGGCAGGCAAAAAGAAAGTAAAAAAGCGCTTCGTTTCCTCTGTAAGCAACTGGTTTTCCTTCTACTGCAGAAAACTCTGTTCTCCCACGAAAATTACGTCTTCCCTTCTCGTCGTCTGCCGTCTCCCCAACTGTGATTTTGCAATATTAGTAATTGAACAGGCTGGAACAGTCACGTGAAAAATATGTTTCTTATTGGAATAGTGCATTTCATTCGGGTATACCTGCAGCAGGAGCTCCCACTCTGGACACTTCTCGATTATGCATTGCTGTGATATGTTGTTCGTGTACAGCCATCGAACACTCGAACACAGAAAGGAGTTATGCCTTGTCACGCTGGTATTTGAACCAGCCGATCCACTTAAACTACTACACCTCGAGTCCTAGCTTTACCTTGTTTTGGTGTAAACATCAGCTTCCATGTGTGAGGTTGGGGACTGGAAGGCGGAATGGGGAAGAGGGGAGGGTCTGATGCTAAAGTTTCACATCCTAACATTCTTTTCTGTGCGTTTTTTGCATTTATGCAATGCAAAAACGCATATTATCGAGAGGCTGTCTGTGTGTACGTGTCTCTGTCTGCCTGCTTGTGTGTGCATCTTTACCGATTTTTCATCTCGAGACCTACAAAAGCTACAAGGCTGAAGCTATGACATCTATGTCTACACCTACGTACGGGCCCCTATAGGCAATATGAACCATTTTACATTCAATAATGTGGTTTTCACGTATGAGCACACGAAAGATTTTTTGGTGGAAAAGCGATTTGGAGAAACACGCGAGCTAGAAGGCTGGAATTTCATAGTGATATTTCTTGTCCACGTTTGCCCAAAAAATTTTATATCCACCTTCACGTACCCCCTCCCCCCCGCCCCTCCCAGGTCTCATATACATACATGTCAAAATTTGTATCATTGCCAACTCGAGAATTAAGCTGAGGAGGAAGCTGTAGAAATCTATAATTTTACAGCTTTGTTTGCCTTCTACTGATGTGCTTGTGCAAGTAAATTGAGCTTCCCGGCCCCATTGGCTCTCACATGCGGACATGTGAAGTTTAACGTGGACAGTTTTGCAACTTCGGAACTGAAGCAGCTTGAGGGCTGGAAATTTTCGAGCGTAGCCAACAACGGAGTTTGACCAGATGGGCGTGAGAACAACTTTCGCGTTACTTTCATGTCTTATATGAAATTTGACGTAATTTCGTAGCCGATGCAGCTAGAGCGCTAAAATTTTCTGGGCATGGCTCAGGACCGTCTTTGAGCAGGGACATATAGAAACAGCATTCACTTTTCTCCTCGCGTCCAGTCACGTGGAATTTGACGTGACCCCGCTACTAAGACAGCTAGAGTGCTCGTATTTCCTGGACATGGCCCGTAACTGTGTTTAGGTAAAAACGCGTAAGAAGAACTTTCACGCCCCCTTCACGTACGAACACGTGAAGGTTGACATAACTCTGTAATCAGGGCAGTTACTCTGCCGAAGTTTTTAGGAACACATTTATGTAGGTGCACACAAAAAAAATTTCACCATTCCACTCACGAACGAACACGTGAGATTTAGCGTAACTCCGCAGCAAAAACAGCTGAAGTGCTGAATTTTTTTCGGACTTGGCCAAGGCTGAGTTTATTTGGAATCATTGTAACAGTTTTGACAGTCGTGGTCGCCAGTCTCAATTCTTTTAGCTAGAAACATCTGCTGAAGACGCAATGCTGTTAGGAGCAAAAGACTGCCAGGAAGCACTGCAAAAAGCGCATTTTCACACCGGCAGTTGGTGCGCTGTTGAATTATATTTTAAATTTATTGTTATACCGGTAGATTATTTTCACTGAATTTAAATTAACCAACCAAAAAATGCATATTTCGTTGTATCTTTCAAAAAATTGCAGGATGTGCCTGTGCACGCTCGCTCGCCAATCCCTGTGTGCTTACTTTCCACAGTTGTTCTTTCCAGATACCAGGGGTTTATGTCAATGTGTTCGTTATTTATTTGTTTTTCAGGTGCCGTAAGTGCAGTGGAAGGCATAACGCGGTATCGATTGATTTTGGCAGTTTTGAGGCATAAAGATGTTTGAGCAGGTAGTTACCTTAATCTCTTAGTTTGCTTTTTACCAGAATCATTCGACGCTCCATCGGTTTGCTATTCTTTCAAAGCATCAAATGGATGGAACGCCAAATAATTTCAGCGTTCACTTCAGCAGCCTCCGGGAGGAAGGGCGAGGCAGGGGGTGGAGGGAAGCATCTTTCAAGCTTCAAAATTTCAGATGGTGAAATGACTTTGAAATTATCAATGTGCATTTTGCATATAGTGAAGCGTACTCAATGACAGTTTTCGTGCGTAATTTTGTCGCAAAAGGTCTATGGTTAGGCCAAGTCTTGCTGCGCCTTTTGTTACTCGAAAATTTATTTTTAGCGTGCAGCTGATTACGGTGCATTGATAATAAAAGGCTCGGCCGGAGTTGTGATAGCGATTTCACTGGCACTCATTTTTCTTGTTGTTGGCAACATGGTTTATCAAACACTGACGTGTAAAATTGTCCTACGCGAAAAGGTTGGCCGTTTTGGCTTTTTCCTCTGCTCTCTGCTTTTCCATTGTGCGTATAGAGTAAGCGTGTGATTTGTGATTTATTTGAAAAATAAAATTTACTGTTGTAAAAACCTTAGTAAGTCAGGGTTGACGCGTGGACACTTGGAATAGGAATGTAGTTTCATAAGCAGCGCAAGAGATTGAGAAATTTACATGAAAGCGGATGTAGGTTAACCCGAATGTGGCAACAGAACGACCGATTGAAGAGACCAATGCCGTGCAGTACGGTACGGGAGTACAGACTATACCTGCCGTGTTTTACCATTCTCGGTCTTTGTGCTTCCAAAAATACACTTGTGAGATTACATACTAGCACACTTTAATTTCTTTAAGACGTCTTAGGAATCCGGAAATTTGATCGCCAGGAACGATGCGAGCAGCAACAAAGTAGAGGAATTTTCTGAGGCTTTCGGCTTCCGAACATCGCTGATGCAGAATCTTTGCACAGAAACTTATTAAATCAGTTCTCACTTTGCAGCAACTGTCCAACTAATTCGACATCTCGTCGACTTTAATTGGTCTCTTTAGCAACGTTTCTTCCATATTTCTAACGTTCGATTAATAAAAATATTTGGACGATGGATGGAGAAATGAAAAATTAGCGCTTGCAAGCCGGTGCAGTTGATTGCTGCCATGTTGACATCTATTTTTTAATCATTTTCTTTGCAGAGGCGATATTAAACGTACTCGTGCAGCACCAGTTCGGTGTATGCTTTGCGAGGTATCTGTTTTATTCACTTTAATGAACAGAAATCGCAGTACTTCGTTGGAGATGTGCTGCAGCTTGCTAGCCATTCACCCACCATGCGTCGTTCCAGCGGCTCGTTGGATCATTTCTGTACATTGCATCGATGCAGTTAGTCAAGTAGCTCTGTGTATTTCATGGCTGTGATAGATTTACAATGGATCGCGGCCCCGTAATTTGCAACAGGCGTTCCATGCATTATTTATATTTCAGATTTTTTTTTTTTTTTGCGATTAAACGCCACGAAGCTTTATCTTGCTGTTATTCCGGGCCGGTTTCGTTCATCTTATTCATAACATATTGTTGTCATGCAGGAGCCTAGATCTGTGGAGCCAGCTGCTGCGCCAAAAAAGTCTTTGATCAGGTGAGCATTTTGTATCTTTGTTTCTCCGGAATCTGTGTGAATTTAGTAAACGTTCAAAAACACGGCGATATGTTTGTTTATAGCCAGCTTCAGTGTGCTGGCATGTTCAGTATAGTGGCAGACGATAAAGCTCAGGTGAAAAGCTAATTCAAATCCACGGCTGGGAAAATTGGTCCTTATACGATTAGTTCTTGAGTTCAGTGTATACTAGCACTGGCATATGTCCAGCTTGATTTTAAGTAACCCTTAGGAGACTAGTCATTATCAGTCGGTAGTTGCTTTTGGCTTCTCTTTTCCACTACGTGTGAAATATGGGAAGGACGGAAGCGGTGGTGAGGAAGGGGGAGATTAACTGACCTGACTTTTGGTTTTTGTCTCCACACTTTCTTTTTACTTTAGCATAAAATGTCCTGTGCATCATTACAAATTCCACCGGGCTGAATTGTAAATTTCAGGCGCATTCGTCGAGCCATTTGGCCCTGTGTTTCGGTGAAATTTATAGATGATGAAGACGATCATTATCCGGCAACCGGTGTTCACAGAGAGTCTGTCACACGTTCGGGAACCCGTAACCAACACTGTTTGTTTGCTTTGGTTCTAATGGCAGTATAAGTGTTTACAGTGGCCCTTCGCAGCTAATGCGAAACGTGCTCACTGCTAAAAGTTGCAGAGTAGACGGTGGCTGTGACAGAGAAAACGTAAAGCGAAAATGTTTGATTTATCAGCAGCCGCTCAAGACTGAAGTGCTCTGTTGCAAGAGTAGCATGATGAGAAATCTCGTTGCCCACAAGGCAGCTGAAGTTTGCCCAGCATGATAAGCTGCTTGTCTCGCTAACAGTCGTTGAATTCTCTGCAAGGGTAACATATCAGCGGCCTCAGAAGTGATGGTGATGCTGGGGGTATGATCGAAAACGCGCAGTAGTTTAAAAAAGAAGTGACTGGCATAAGTTCTCTCTTTCCACTTGTAATTCATCATCCACTTTAACCGGACTAATTTTCGCGCTTCTTTAGCTATATTCAACTAAAGTTTTGGCGACTTTAAGAGTGCGTAAAATGTCTCACCCAGGTCATGTCATTATTCGATCAGTCACCATATTTTCTGTTAAACCACATCCTGGGAAAGCTAAACTTATCAGATTTCAGTGTCAAGGAAATATCGGGAAGTATTTTTGCCTCCTGATGATGTCTCTGCTGAACAGTATAAATCTACACTGCGAGCATTTCCTCGAGGTTAATCAGATTTCTCTTTATCAAAAAATTCTTGATTTTGTTTCCTTGCTCTCCTCGCATTTTAGTTTTTGGTAAAGACAAAGGAGCCGGCTTTTAGTTCGATTAATATTCCAACTACCAGCTGCAAGCATTAACTGTCAAGACTGCCGGTCATTCTCGAAATTGTTTGAGAAGTAAACTGTCGGTAGTTTGAAAACCCTTCTATGATCAGGCTCGCTGGCACTAATTCTGATCCAGAGTAATCAGAAAAATGTTGGGGCTAGTGTTGCCTCACCAAAATGCGCTAGGTAGCTTGTTTCTCCTTGGTGGTGAACTTTGTGTAGAGGATGTTTGAAAGAGAGAAAAAAAGCAGTGTCATTGGTCGCTGCTGTGCTTACTGGAACTCATTTTATCACTGGTTTAAATTTTTAGTGGTTTCCCCAGTAGTAGTATCTTCCGTACGATCTCGTGGGAAAAAACAGCCAAAAAACTGACTTTTGAGAAGATTATTGTGTATACGTAATGCGTAACTGGAGATAGGTGGGCCAACACGGAGAATGCATAATCGAGTTCTGCATGTGATGGCATTAGGTCTCCAGTTCGGACAGTTTTGTTGTTGTTCAGTGCTCAATAGTGCCATATATTTATTATATCTTCCGATAAATAATAGGTAATGAATACTGGTGAAACCGTTATGCGAACACAAAAAATCCTTGCGCATTTTATCGGGAGATTTTTAAACGCATATTGTCGGTTGTGACAGATGAGCATCTCGCCAGTGCAGCAGTTATGTATCAGAATGATATAAAATATGCTAAGCTTTATAGTGTTGTTTGTGGACTTGTGCTTACTCTTGTTCTTATTACAGCTGTTTTAATAATAGATTGCAAAATTGGATAGTCAAAAGAAATGACAAACTTTAATGCTGTTTATCAAAAGCAGCGAAAAATAAAACCGTCAGATGTATATTTTTTGTTTAGGTATCGTACCAAAACATGAGCCATATGTAGTGCATACATCAGTCGACTATACAAATTGCCTCGTACCGCGGCTTGATTTGATTTTAGCATCACCATTCTACTGGGGCGTTATGGATCGTTATGAGGCTGAAGCCTTACTGTGCGACCAGGCAGAGGGTAATTTCTTTTAATTGTCGATCATTTCTGAGTCAGAACTTTCTTTTGTGATTGAAAGCTTTGAAACGGTTTTGTATATCGGAAAAAATTTTTCATTGAGATTTTGGAATTTTGAGTTTTTTTTTTTTACTGGTATGCTTCTACTTACTTTTTTAATGTTTTTGCTCAAATCAAATCTCATTATGGTAAAATCATGTCTGCCTGTGCATGTTGGTGTTAATCAACTCTAGAACTGTGAAAGCCAGGAAACTCAAATCTGGGAACTCAGGTGGTTTTGATCAAATCTGGAATCCCTGAAACTAGCGTTAAACACTCCGTTTGTTTTGATCCAATAGCTCAGATGCAAATTTTGGCCCATGTTGTGCCAAAATTTTCCACATGCTATAGCCCTGTTGTGTTTTAGGACACTAATACAGTGTAACAGATTAAATCAATCTTCAAATCACCCTGTTTCAAATTATGGTCTTGGGCCAAATTTAACAAGTTCCAGATGAAAGTAAGTCAGGAATTTGAAATTGTTAGGTTTACCGAGTGGCTAGATTCAAAGGCTGTCGTTACACAGTACAGTCACATTTTGCATTATCATTGCACGAATCATTGATTTTAAAGATGCATATTCGCTTGCGTTCTTTTTATGCACGCCGTTACCAGATATCTCAGAACTGCTGAAGAGTGCTGAGTTGCATGAACATTTTGTTCAGATCTTTTGTTAACGTGCGGGCGTCTACATCTCCACAATTCTCGAGTGTTTTATAAAAGTTTCATTATTTCAGAAAAGAAGCAAGAAACTCATGGACGCAGTTAAAATCCACATAGGAACATGAGGAAACCTTTCTTTTTTTTGCTAGCAGTACTGACGCATATCCCGAGCGACATTAGTTGAAGTCAAAACGACCTCATGCGAGAAATAGATGCAGAGATGTTTGGTAACAACTGTGGAAATATGGATACTTCCCTCAAAATAACTCATCTAGAGCAATGTGTAATGAATTATTTGGATATCAGCGTGCAGCCGTATTTCATTTAGCACGGGACCGATGGATTTGACATGGCCCTGTCCTGTTTGTGGACTGGACCTCAATAGCTTTGAGCACAACTGCGAGCATGTGGTAGAATAAATTAATCAAAAAGCGGATGGCTCAGAAAAGAGAGACTTGTCTTGAAGAGATTCTACTCTACTATTCTACTTGACTGTATTTGCGTCTCGCTGTTGTTTCATCACAACTGCGAATTTTGCTACTATGATTTGGGCAGTCTTGGTGTTTATTAACTACTCAGTGATCCTAATTTTTAAGGTACATTTCTGCTGCGCGACAGCGCTCAGTCGACTTATCTGTTCTCAGTATCGTTTCGTCGATATAATCGAACATTACATGCACGCATTGAGCAGAAAAATCATCGTTTCAGTTTCGATGCTTCCGATACATCACTTTATTCAGCAGACACAATAACTGAGCTTATCGCTTATTATAAGGATCCAAGCAGGTGGATTTTATACTGCTATCGCTTAGGCCGTAAAAAAAGCATAAAATCATTCAGTCATCAGAAAGTGATTTGACATCTGAAGAAATAAGTGCCAGATTTTAAGATAGATTTTTCGTAAGAATTTGCTGGGATCATTGGTTTTAAACATTGGATGCTACAAGAACCGAATAGGTAAGATTTTTGGTCGTAAATTTTTGAAGTTTGTTTCTGTATTCAAAATTTAGTTTTCTCAATGCATAGATTACATTTCTGCTGGCCAATTTCACATGTTTCAGTCGAGTATTCTCTGAGAAAATGGTGCTTGAATGTGACAGGGGCAGCTGTTTTGAATCACCCAGGGCAAAAGAAGCCTGGTGCACATACTGCATATAATTGCTTTTGAATAATATTTGAGGTCCCGTTAGTCCACGAAAATCCTTACTGACTGCAGTTTTAGTCCTCAAAATTGCTGTTGAGGTCATTCATGTTAGTCTGCAACATTTTTTTGGAGGGGGTGAGGGGGAAGAGCGAAGGGAAACTGGGGTTGACTTTACGAGCGTCAGCTTCCAGTCCTCCTGAATTGCAGTGTCACAGATCCGGTCGGCTTACAGACACATTCCTCACTATAAATTGACCTGTAAGATGAGACACTCGAAAAGAAAAAAAAAGTGCAAATGCCAAAGCTTCTTATATGAGAAAAAAAAAAAACCACATAAAATCAAGCAGAGGAACGTGTTAAAGTTAGCAAGCTTTGCACAGCTTGACCAGAAAAGAGTGCAAAAAATAGCTGAGAGGGTTGCAAAAAGGGCGTAACGATCACCTGTGATAAAGAGGAAAGATTAAATTCGAAAGTGGTGACTTTTTCACAGTCCAAAAATTCCTTATTTTAGCAAGTAGAAGCAAGAATGGAGAAAAGGGTTATTGGAGGTGAGTCATTTTATAACCCCTCTACACTTAGCGATGTTCTCACGTCCCCTCCTGTTGTGTTTCGGAAACGTTCACATTAACGCTCATGATATATCCTGGTGTTTTGTCTACCTCCTCAGTCAACGCTTCTGTATTTTTAACACAGTGGATTTTCAGGTGTCTGTTCTATGAGCCACAATTATCGGAGCCACTTCGGCGGAATTTTGTTTTTCCACTACAGGTTCTTTTCTAAACAGCTTTATGCGTTTCTTCACTATGTTATGATGTAAGACGTTCAGCAAAGCGACGCACTGGAAGACCAGGACAGGACAAGCATTTTTTGCCAAAAATGGCTGAATGAGAAGCAAGAAATGTGGAAAATCAGAATCGGACATACAAAAATTAGCGAAGAAACCTGTGTAAAAAACTTGTGTCAAAATGAGAGAAGTTTATTGAAAAAGAGGATTGGAATTAGCCGGGAGCACTAAATTGAACTAAATTGCGAATTGCTCAAAAATGCAAATTTAGCTATAACGTTGCTAAAGCACTAAATACTGTGGTAGCGATGCACCAGGCTTGCTGGTGCAGTCATGCGTTTTTGCATGACTCCAACTTGCAGAGAGACCGCCCATGTGGTGACTGCGGTATTGCAGTTCGTACATTTAATGCGCCTGTGCGCAAAACTTATGCGCAAGCGAAAGGTCAAAGAAATGAATCGTTTGTAATAATTGCAGTTTTTAACTGGCACTCAGACACACTTGGTACCTTCTGCGTCTCCGTCACATCCTTGAGGTATGCTAATGTAAAAATTCGGTTGTGAGGGACACCTTGGCCAGTAACCATCGCCATTACCACGGCCGTTATTTCAGTCGCTGCTTTTGCAGCGCAGTATTTGTCTGCCAATAGATAATGAATAAATTGAAGTAAAATAAATTAAAAGTCCCAAAAAATGGTAAACGAAGGAAGCAGTCGAAATGAGACTGCCTGATATTATTACTTGTGCCAGTGCTAACTCCCATCGTTTGTTGTTGCAGCATCTGTGTCGCGCTGTCATCGCTAGCTTAACGACATACGACGGCATTGAAAAGCTGAATTTACCCAGTTCACTGAAACGCTTCATCCAGGAATATCACTACAGGCATCCGGTGAAAACGATCAATTACGTCCCGCATACGGAACTTCTCTGTGTGCCCGTCGCATCCACCTAATCTGCTCCAACATTTGGACACAGTGCTTAATTCATCTTGCAGTTGGTTCCAATGTATTACGTATCCAGCCTTTAACAGAACAGCACGTACCTCAATTCTGGCTTATGCTTGGCTAAAATAGTGCGTTCGCTGGCCAAAATGGTCATTTTTCGCAATTTTAACTTGCTTAAGTCCCGCAGTGCTCTATAGCTTGGTCCTAAATCCAGTGTTTTTAAAACCGGTTTTTTTTTCTAACATTTTTTTTTTTTGATTAAGCACGATGTCATCGAATTTGTGCTTGTTTATCCGGTTTTCTGGTGCTTTCATATCTGCTTCTGTAAATTCTGTACAAACTAGCTGAACAGTTTGTCCCTTTATTCGATTTTTTTGCAGTGTGTTAGCTCGTTCAGGCGCTTTTATCGTTCTCCAGCGTACATTCTGGGACAGGCGTATCCGTTCCACCCCTCCTCCTGTCTTCCCTCATTCTCTCCTTCCTTCCCCCTGTCTCGCTCTTCATACTTTCCGTTACTTTCCCCTCTCTTGCCACCACCTCCACCCTCTGCGTGGTGTACCATTTTAAAATTTTGTTTGCCACTGTTGATATTTTAATTTTAATTTCCTTCTTTTGAGCGATTTTTGCGTCTGAAAATTTAGTAGTATCTTCTGTGATTTTCGGTATATTTTCGGCGAATTAATTTTTGCTGGAAAGGATTTCCAAAGCAGCAGCTATATCTGCCTAGTCATGCTCTCGCTCCGATTTTGTTATCGCGTAGTTAGACAGGTATAGCGGTGCTAACTGGTTATCTCAGCACAACAAGTTTTTGAATATACCTACTTGGTTTGAGAGTACGTTTACATCATCACGAACTCTGAGATGTGCTTCGTCGTATTTGGTAACCAGTTTTTGCAAATAAATTTAAACCAAATGTTTTGGAAAAAAAAACAGGAACAGAATGAATTTTGAGGGCCCGTCGACTTGGGAAAATTTTAGTAGAAAACTTGAAATTCTAGTACTGAACATATTTCGATGGCGTTGGCACAAAATTCCTTTTGTGGTTCAGCAAAAAAACAAACTACTGGAACAAGACTGTTTGCATAAAGGAAACTAGGCAAACGGCTATGTGAAATAAAAGTATATAACGAAATGGGCATTGCTTATGCACTAGAAGTACGTCTGTAAATGTGAACATTGTGCGTCTTGGCTCAAGGCGGCTCAGACGGACAACTTTCGAGAAGGTGGGATGCAGAGAACAAGATAAGATTTGCCATGTGAGCATGCCACATCATGCGCAGCAGTGATGCAGAGAATAAGATGGAGATGCAGAAGAGATAGATTTGGACTCACCGTAAGGGGATACCGGAACTGAACTGAATACCGCCATGAAAAGGCCGTAAATTAAAAATATATTTGTTTTAAGGAAAAGAATGCATGCAGAGCTGTCTTCGTCGAACAGCACACGAAATTAGTGAATGTGATGGGCTTTTAGGAAAGCAGATGTGCTGGACTTCGGACACATCGCTTCTCTGTAATAACTTTGCTGTGCTTACAAGCATAAAATCGTTAATGATCTGCACAGTGACTGTGAGAGGACTGGGTAGTAAAGAATCGCTCTGTCTCACGTTTTTATGCGTTTTCTGCAGCAATGCAATGCGGAAAACGCATACTGGCGAGAGGTTGTCTGTGTGTCTGTGTGTTTGTGCGTCTGTGTCTGTGTGTGCGTCTGTCACGCACTTTCATCTCAGGACCTATAGAAGCTGCGGGGCTGAAATTTCGGGAACTTAATCTACATACACGTGCCGCTTCCAATCCCCGAAATGGGGCCAAGGGTACCCGCGTACGGGTCGCCAAAGTTTTTTTGGGGTTAGTTCATAACTCGAGGATCTGAGAAGCTAGAAGGCTGAAATCTTGGGGTAATGTTTTCCGCCCAAGCGGCTATTAGTGCTCTCAAACCCAGCCCCCGGGTAAGCGTGGTACCCCCGTACGAGCCCGCCAAAATTTTTTTCGGCATAACTCGGGGTGCTGAGATGCTAGAAAGCTGAAATTTTAGGGGGTCCCCGTCCAAGCAGGTGCTAATGAGCTCAAATCCAGCTCCCGGGTAAGCGTGGTACCCGCGTACGAGCCCGCCAAAGTTTTTTTGAGTAAATTCATAACTCGGGGATCTGAGAATCTAGAAGGTTGAAATCTTAGGGTAATGTTCCCCGCCCAAGCGGGTATTAGTGGGCTCAAATCCAGCCCCCGGGTAAGCGTGGTACCCGCGTATAAGCCCTCCAAAATTTTCGGGTAAATTGATAACTCAATTACCTGAGAAGCA